CAAGTATTCAAGACTTAGTAATACGCGCGAAGCGACGGACATATATACGTTTCTCCTCGATGACGTGATTTCTTTTAAAATTTCGAGGACAAACAGTTTTCTTGGGGAAGCTTTCTCGAAACAGTGTTCTTCTTTTTCGTTTCCTTTACTTTTCGTCTATCTAGAAAATGAGAATAAAGAAGAATAGAGACAGAGAAGAGAAGGAGGAAAGAGGGGTCGAAGAAGGAGCAGAGAGTTAGTGGAATTTTTTTTTCTCGAGGGATGGAAGGACAGAAAGAGAGAGAGAGAGAGAGAGAGAGAGAGAGAAAATGGGAGGGAGAGTCTTGATTGGAACGGGATCGATATAGCGGAGCTTATCTATAACAGGTGCAGGTACCGTTAGAATAATCGAGTAACATGCGATAGAGCGTATTTTTATACATACGTATCGATAGAAATAGACTTTACATGACTTCTCTAATCCGTAACCGTGTTTCTACGCGAATTTTCATATTTTCCGCCCCCTCCCCCTGTTAACACGACTCGATCCAAATTTCATTCGACGTTCTCACGGTTAACACGAATCGAACAACAGATCCTCCGCGATCCGGTGGATTTCGTTTAATCTAGAATTTTCGTATGATCTATCTAATTGCATCGACGTCTTCTCTTGGCGACCGACGATTCTAACATTGCATTGAACTCGATGATCGCTCGCGAGGCTCTAATCGACTATCGAATTGGCACTAAACCGATCTGATATGAGAGATATGGAAGTGCTTGCAGACGAACGAGCCCCCGATCTTGTTTCAGGATTGTCCGTGTGACGCTTCGTTAGGATCACGCGCGATCCCCGTGAACGCGTGATCCAAGCACAATTACACAATGTCTACGTACAACTCGTTTCGAATTGTTTCGTTACTTAAGAACGATCGTCTCTGTCTAAGACTAGATTCCATTACGTCGTTTTCTTCTTCGTTTCTATAAAGGTAGGCTCACGTTACACATCGTCTGATTTCATACTCTCTATACTGTTCTTGTGAACATTATCATACGCATGGTGAGAACAGTGTTCGTTTGTGATTCATTTTATGGTCATTCATTTTATGACGATTGAATGAAGCTTCTCAGGTAAATAAGTACATAAACCGTTCGTGTTTAGCTGTGCTATACCAGTTTTGTTAAAGAATTCGTGGAATAATATTTTCTGTCCATAATTGATTTAACAAGATTTGTTTTCATACATTCTGGTCTGATTAAGTAAAAAATATGTGATCCAACGGGGAAAATTTCTATAATTTAATACTGGATATGTTAAAATTCAAACGTTTGCTGATTGGTAACAGCAAGAGGTGGCAAATAAACGAGAAAATATTCCTGGTCGTTAGTATATTCTGAAAATATACGCGTATGCCACTGTAGATTCTCATTACCATAATATATCGTGACGTTCTATCGAATAAGGGTATAACTTCGTAATATATTTATCACACTGGTAGTCATCGATAGTTACCAAGACATTATAGTGCATTCAGTTGACACTATGATTATTATTAAATAACGTACACGTTATTTTATAAAGTTATCCAACTATTTAGACTCTTTAGCGTCTTTTATTCGATCCTATTCATTTGTTGCAAGTACTTTCAGAAGCTCCATAGCGTCAATCATCAATGATTATTAAGACGCCATTGAAAAGGCAATTGATCATAGGTCACCACCACAATTACTATTATCTGATTAATCAAGCAGAGGTGTAGCGTGAGTCTACCTAAAAGTCAACAACGATCGTTCACACATCTACGGTTCAATATCGTAATTTTCGATCGTTTACGAAGCTTCAGCCCTAAATCACCGTAAAGCTTAGCCTAAAAGTTTCGTTCGATAAATATTCCGCGTCCGTTCCTTCGTGTTTCGTATCAAACATTCGATTATACATCGTCGTCCCGTGAGTCGAGCGTCTTGAGCAATGGTTTTGCACGTGACAAAAGGCGGCAAGAGATAAGTTCCGCAGACAAAAACCGCGCTCGATTGATCGATCGATCGAACGCGTGCACGCTAACGGAAATCGATTAGCAAGCTTCGAGTGGGGAATGAGTGCCAACACGCAGGCGTCCCGATTGGAATTCCGTCTCCGTTTGGAAAAACGTATTCCAACTTAATTGGACGCCTTGAGCAAGGCCGAGTAAGGATTCACAACCATTCTAGATGTACGGGGTCGCGATTTCGTTTCCGTACGCTTCGAAACAACACCGCGAATCGTTTTGTGCCGACACGTTCGCGTTAGAATCGTCGAAATTCAACAATATTTAATTTAATATAATAACTTGATAATAACATGAAACTACGTAACGAATATTTTATAACAAATTGGTATTTTGTCTACTAATGTTATATTTTTGAAAGTTCAGGAATACCTTGCTTGCTGTGCAGAGTGTTTCGTGAAATGCACGATCGAATTCTGGATCAATTTGAACGTACAGAATTAACTCCAATCGGAAGTGACAAAATGTCCTTTATAATCATTTATTACGTAGGTCGGAATAAAGATAATTTCAATAAATGCATAGAGATAATTAAATCACGGTGATCGTTAAATTAAACCTAACATTGATTCTTGTTAATAAAATTACACTCTTCATCAAATTTTGAATTCTACAACTTGTGATTTAATAGAAGTATTTTATTTCATTAGTATTTGTTTATACTAATAACGTAATTACATGTTAAAGCTTGTGTCCTTGATATTCATTGCTTTTCTGCGGTCGATTTAGAAAAAAAGCAATTAAATTAAAAAGATTCATACTACAATTTTATTATCGTATGATTTTGTTATTATGTAACGCACTGTATTTAAGTTCGTTTAAATTATCCGACTTTCATGAAACATCCTCCACAGCTGAGAAATAAGTGTACAGCAAGATATACGTACGATTCGTAAGATTCTAGTGCAATCGAACACATTCCGTCTACTTAAATTCTATAAGTACGGTCGCTAGATCACGTTGTTTCGCAGCTTATGGAACAGATCGCTCGTCCCTCCGAAAACCGAACCGAGAAAACTGATATCTACAGCTGTAAACTACATACGCACGAGACGCGTGCTGTCCGTGCATCAGCGCATCACACGAATATTTCGTCTAACTAGGACCACGACGCGAATTGCGTCCGCGTAAAAAACTGGTAGTAATCTTTTTTTTTTTTTATATCAATCTCGATAGATTAATTCGTCGATTAATATTCACAGACTTAACTTACGGCCTAGGACTTAAACCTACGAATTTTCCATTTCTTGGTGCGAAGACGACAGATCCTGAAGGCAACCGTGTCACTGGTACCGCCATTTCTCGTGTTGCGACCTCAGTAGTACACATTCGAAATGACTTTTCCCTGCAATTATCAAGAGAAAAAATAGCTTTTACAACTATCTTGCTTTATCTTTGCTTTCAATCGCGCGTCGAAGACTTCTATGATTTCCATTTCTATGTTTGACACATTCATCGAATCCAATTGTCTGACGAGATCTCCGAGAGAGAGAAAACGGAACACGCGAAAATTGATGGTAATGTCTCTGAAGCGTCGTGACACGAGCCTTGGCAGGAGTTTCATTATTCCTTTTGTTTTTCTTTCGGAATGCTCGATGAATCAATTGTTGCTTCCCTAATGTATAAACTCACCCTGCTTTCTTCGACGTCTCTCACCTCCGTCGATCTATCAATCGAAAGCGCATATGTACGCAGAACTCGGTGAAACGTTTCTTTTAAACGACAGATGCGCGTATTCCAATGAATATTTAAGAAATATTATTCGAAAACAACATCGAGATGTCGATTAATATTTCATTGTAATGAAATTTATGATTGACCTTTTTTTGTTTTTCTTTGGTATTTGCTTCCTATTCGCCGTTTCAAATTGCCCATCTATCCGAGTCTGAGTAAACATGACTTACAGATACAGTAAACTCGCGATAATTGCCTGCTGAATAAATATTCGTTAGGCGTGCCCCCTGCTTAATCGTATTATCTACACACGCGCACCCCACTTTTTGTCGCCTTTTGTGGCCGAAAATTGATGACTATTGGCTCTCGATAATTACCTGTTCCTAGAACTACCCGCCCCTAGAGCCCCAAATGCGGATAATTATCGGGAGTCTACTGTATACGCTACCGACGAGCCGATCCGATTATTCTATTACAAACGAATGCTTGCGTTGAAAAACGTGTGCCACTCGACGAAACATTGATTCCTTACGCTTAATTTTTATCACGTTTTAGGAAGGCGCACCTTTTTCATCATACCCCTGAACAACGTTTTGGGAATACTGGTAGATGATCGAACTTCTCCGCTTTGCTGCATATATATAACCTGCACTTTACCTCGTTGAATTCACGGTTCGCTGACGTTTATTTCTCGCGTCCGTATAAAAGGAGGAACGCTCGGTATTTTTCTTTAAAAACGATCGAGATCGTCGTAAGCGATTATCTGTTTCTTGGTTCCACGTTGCGCGGTGTAAAAATATCGCGGACATCTGATTAATTTGTACGGGCGTTAAGTACTTTGAGAGGTTATGGAAATAGGACTTTCGACGCGCGGGCTATCTTGCGATTCGCGAGTTAGTCAAGCGCGCTTCGATCATTAACGATCGATGAAAAATTAATCGCTTACGTTTTGTAAATTTCTTCACGGGAATTCCATTGGGAAAGAGTTGTCGTCGCCATGCAGGACACGATATTGCCCTCGATTTATTGCGATTTTGAGAGAAATACAGGGGAAAGAAATTGTAAGTGACCGTGAAAAGAAGACGGGTTTGAGACAGCACAGATGACTCGTGACTATCGTCTCGTTTCAGCGAAAGCAACAGATTAAGCACGCAATAAACTCTCCATACGATTTAATATTATTATTGGAAGTATCGATTCGAAATAATTCTGGTATATTGAACGCTGAAATGAGTCTCTCTCTTCGTTGACGAAGTGTTCCTTAACGCTGCTATTGCTTCTGAACGATCGCTTAAAATTTAAAACGTAAGTGTGTACGCTGGAGACATTCAATAATTTTTTCGGCGTCACTCCCGCGCAGGGGGGTGAGCCCTTGGCAGCAGTCAGTACTCTTCCTCATCCTCTTCGAACTCGTCCTCTCCCAGGATACTGTACGAGTATATCAGAAAACTTGTGATGAAAAATACAGTATAGATGCTCGTGCATTAATATATTGCTAGGTATTACCCCGAGGAATTATATTCAGCTTTACTAATTTAATTCGAAGCATGAAAAGTTATTAATTTGTAGCACTAATTGATTTTGCATTAAACTGTAGATTGATATAAATAGTAAGGCACTTTTTTTTATTATTGAATATACTACACATGTACAGATATAGTATATGTATCGTTGATTATGAAAGTGTTGCAAGGCAAAAAACTAAAGAAATTGAGTTTTTCTCTTATTTTATGTTACATTGATTTATATTTCAGTATCATGAAAGAATTTTCGCAACGAAAAGTATACGACTTAAATTACTTCCATAATCATGTCATATACACGGTATTATGCAACTGGTAGGGGCGATTCTACGTAAAAAAAGAAAATATTTGAGGCTTTGTTTTTGAGAAAATCGTCTGTGAAATCTGCTAGATACGCGTGCCATTGAACAGGACTTGTCTAGGGCATCTTCTCATTGCATTCCGTTTCTATTTACTATTATGATGAATACACACGTTTCAAATTAATTTTCAAAGTCGATTTTCTCGGGAACGAAGTATCAAATGAACAAATTTTATTGTATATTTCTAACGTATTTTTTCACGTAGAATCACACCTACTCGATTACATGATACCCTGTAAATTCCATATACATACATTAAAAAGTTCTCATGTTCTGGGATCATATTTTACTGTTCCATCCCATTAAAAGATTTTGATAATCAAAGATAGACACTTCAAAAAGTGAGACTAATTTCACCTATGAAATATATAGTTTTATTATAGTAATTATGTATGTGATTAAGGACTAGTAATAACAATTAATGTGTGAATTAAACAAATAATATTTCTGTATTGTACACTTTAATTTTCGACACCTTAGGAACAATATTAATTCCTCGAAGCAATTTCGGAGTGGTAGTAAGGTATAAGGGTTCATCTAGCCGCACTGGGCACTGCATACATACACGTTACTTACTCTTCCTTTCTGGCGTATTTGTCAATCAGGTTACGGCCTGGTCCTCCGCAGCTCTTGCCCACAGGTGGACAGTACCAGTAGCACAGTACAACCAATGACACTATGAATAGAACTATAGGCACCACCAAGGCTAGTACAAGATGCCTTAAATTCTCGTCCCAGGAATACCTGTAAATACACAAGACTAAGTAAGTCAGTATATTATTTCAGTTCAGTGTATGGTTTAATGTTAGTGATCACTGTGATATCTCCTGTTTTTTATTTAATTTAGTGGAATTTAGTTTCGACAATATGAAATTAGGTATTATGAAAAGTGAACCACTTATTTTAATACCCTATTTCATATTGTGTAACGTTTTGTATCAAAGATTCTACTAAATTAACATTTCAATTTGTTTCTTTAGTAAATCTGTACTATATTCCCCTGGAAATTTCTGAAGTTTCTTGTTGGAAGCCGATACCACTTTTTAATCAAATAGTGACGCTTTTTATTGCATAATGTGACCCTAAGTCAAGTACTACTACCTCCAATTGAGTTTTCACTGATGAATTATTCACATTTTCCTTGACAAAAAGAGTTCAAACACAATGTTATTCGGATAAATTTCAGTGTTTGTGTCGTTCAGTGTTGTCATAATGTTAAAAGTTACTACTATTTTAATGAGAACAATCTCATGAATGCATTAAAAACAGGTTTAGAAAAGTTTCATGCAAAGTGGAAGACATTTTATACCGCATTAGTAATTGACACACGTATATGTACATTGTATGACACAACGCGTTGAAGTCCTCGGAGTCTAGTGTGCTTGTTCGACGGTTCGCTGAGCAAGCAATAACCAGAAATTAAGTGGACTCAAACTTCAAGGTTTCCTAGGGTATATCTATAACATTCCAGATAAGAAGTGTATCTAGATATAATAAAAACACAATAACACCCACATCAAAATTCCTTCGTAAACAAGCCATTACTTCTAAACGTTAAAAAACATCGATGTGGAACCCAGAAACCTATCAGTCAAAGGTATCTATACCCCATTAAAACCCACCCCTGTATCACGAAACAATAAAGAACAGGTGAAAGATTCTATCAGGCTACAGTTTTCAACGCAACGAAAAAATAAACAAGAAACTTCCACAGATCTAGATATCCGGGGACATGATATACAGTTTATATTGTTCGCAATGTGCATCGAACATGACACGTTTCGTGCTTCCGTGCCGGCTATATTCCGCAAATACAAACAGAAAACTGTAATTATACCTCGCGACGACAGTCTCGGGGTGTGTTCGGCTGTAATAACAGGGGAATATCTTCCCAATGTTCGAGTATCCGTATTTCTTCGAGAAGTCCGAACAGTTGACCCGCGGCGGATAGCCGCAGCCTTCCGTGTTCACGAAGAACTTCGTGTCTGGCACGTCCCAGGGTATGGAGCCGAGAGGTTTCGCCATAAATTCCTCGAATGACAGCCTCGTGTAGTTCACTCTGATCTGGTGGCAGCGAAGGGCCGCACTGGTGCAACCTGTAATCGTGTGCAATCGTTAACAAAGTGTCGTTTCATTAGGTTATCAATTAGTTGACATCAGATTTTAAACATTTATAGTTTACTCGAGTGTGCCTAATATGATAGAATCCATTGTTTGCCTAAGATTCGTTATTAATAGACCCATGTCACTGGGATAATCCTCAAACGAAAATATCTGTTACGATTGTCAGAGATATAGACCAGTCGTGAATTACTTATTGACACTGGATTAACTAGAGACGTGTCTAATCAATTGATGCAAATGGGTTAAGTTCATCTTGTTTATCCTAAAATCGATTCATTAATCTATCAAACCGATTCATCAAACTATCAGACCAAATTCATTCTCATCTAACTGGAAGTTAGTCATCCAGTTATGAATGACGTGACAGTTAATTTATCAAGGAAAACAACTTGCAAGTAGTTCCAACTAAGGAAAACAAAATATGTCTGACAGAGTAACTGCCATAGCGGTCACCGGTGCCATTGAATTATATGGAGAAACATTGCATTTCTGAAGCCTACAATTGTTCAATTACAGAGTAAAAATTTCTTCAGTGAACATGTTGAAGGGTAATTACTAATTATTAATTAGCACACCGTACCCTTGCTAGAAAAGTGACAGAACTTAAAAACATTAGATTCTCCAAAAAGGAAAATGACTACCTAAAATCACAGGTTCACTCCGAAGAGTAAGCTAACAACTAGCCAACTTAAGAAGCTAACAGATCACACATTTGATTGATTGAACACTGTTTCTACAACTTTCCCATAGTGATGACTATGAGTTGCGTCACTTTAGTAGCCAGGATGGGATTTGTTCGTACATATTAACGACAACGTTACCTTCTCTACAGCTCGCCCAAGAGCAATTCTTCAGTCCCTCAGCGTAAACGTGGTCGGTGACAACGCAGGCTACGGCGTGAGGAGAAAAATCGGCCAGGATCGTTGATATCGCTGGCTCGACCACAAAAGGGATCAAAAATAGGAAGGCGAAAACCGCGAGGATCGCTGTGGTGCCCAGGCAGAGTGAGGTGTAGAACTTCGCCTTTTCTACCAGCGATGCTACTTCCACCACTGGTAGTACACCGCCCATGGTGCTGGACTTGGTATCCTCTTCCTGGGCACCCATGATCACCGTTGACTCGTCGGAATCAATGATGAATCCGTTTCTTGGGTCGCTTGGACCCTCTTTGTCCACTCAGAAATAATCTCTTCGACAGAGTCCTCGGACTCTGGATCCCTCCCTCACTCGCACTTTTCTTCTCCCTTTTTCAAAACGAAATCTCCAATATCTATGTAGAATCTTCTGTGCAGTATACTGTTCTAAGCGAAACAATTGGAAGGAGTGGTGTCTCCTCTGGTCACCTTAAGCCAACCGTTTCCAGTTCTGTTCTTTAAAGTGTTTCGTTCCCGTATCAGAGTAATCGTACGGTGAAGCTTAAAATTATTGTATTCTGCGGAATCGTAACGAAGCGAAGCGATGAACTCGGTTTAATGGTCGATGGTGTAAAAATTCGTCTGTTATCGGTGCGGAGATCGTGACCGATCATATACCAGCAAAGGCACGTCCTTCGATCCTTGAATGGATGTAGTTCTTCGGTGTGTACGTGTAACACGAACAATTAGCTGAGTGTGTCGATACGAAGTGGCTATCCTTATATGTTGTATTAGTTCCTTATCTATGGTCACGGCGAATCAATCAGAAGGGGGACACTTAAAAGCTACCGACGCGCATGTCACGTGTGTAAAAGACGCCGAATATTTGTCTTGTTCCTTTGGTTCCGTTCCAGGTTTCGTCGTATCCGAAAGTTTCATTGAGCCCAGATTCAGGTTCATCCCCGTAAGCGGGAGAGAAGTAGCCGAGAGCAGCGCGCCGCGCGCAAATATCCGCTCGCTCGAACACGTTCGTAGCGCGTCCAAAACGCGGTATCTTCTTTTCGTTATTTTTTTTTTTATTTGTTGAAAAAATAAGCACGTGCGCTTCTCGTTTAAAGTGTGTGTATGTGTTTGTGCCAGGCAGTGCAAGTAGGAAAAATTCTTTCGCTCGGTACGTCTCGTTCTTGACCGCTTGCTCTCCGGTTTTTGCTTCTTTTTAGTTTATCGATGCTTTTGCAGAAATGTTTGTGTGTTTAGTTTTTTGGTTTTTGCAAGATGAGAATTTTAACCACGCGTTCCCCCCCTCCCCACACCTTAATAATGCCCGCGCAGGGAGAATATCGACTGACGAGCCGGACTCTCCTCCAGGAGGGGAATGCCTGTGGACAGAAAATGAAAGTGCCGTTGTTAATACATAACTTCAAAATATTGGTTAATTAGTAGAGTATGGAAGTTTATACAAATTCACAATTTCCAATACTAATATCCCTAAATTAAAATGGGTCGGAATTGTAGATTCTCCACCAGATGCTTTTCTACGTTAGCAATATCTCATAAATAGGTAAACATTGTTGCATTTTTCATTTTAAGGAACGCTATAAATGGATAAACATCCGCAGTTTATTAATTATAGAATCTTTGAGATATTTGTCGTATTGTAATTCGAACCGGTTCGACAGTTGACTCCTTTGAAACGAATCTTTAATTGATTCTCGAAGAAATTGTAGAATAAATTTTAAAGAAAATCGAAGTGGAACATTTGTCGTGTGTACAGGTTGTTCAATATACTGGTCAATGTATTCGAATAATGATCGCTATTTATATTTGCAGTCTACTATCTATCCGTTTACCATCGACTTTAGTATCTCCTATCAGTTCATATGAAATTACTGTGAAAAATATGTAACACCATACTATTGTCAGTAATGATAAACACTAATGCAAGTGGAAGTAATGGGTCATGGTCAGACGTATTTCCAGCCCACGCGCACTTGGGTTCTAAAATGCGATTTTCTCGAAAACTAAGTTCTAAATGTAAAAATGTTATTCTACATTCAAAATGTACAGGATGGGGCAATAACTTGGATCACCTTGAATACCTTTGTTATTTTTGGAAATATAGACAAACTTTGTTTGCAATGGAAAGAAGTATGAAATTTCTTAGCAACGTCATTCGCTATTTACATTTCTTACTATTCTGTATTATTTAGACTCCTATTCAGCATACGTTTTGCTTCGTGTTACAAATACCTACGTATAACTACGTTCAACGACTAATGGAGGGATACTAGTACATTATATGGAACAAAGACTCATTTCAGCTTGCGCCACAATCAATTCGGAAGTGAGATAACAATTGCACGGACTCCACCGTGGAGAACATTAAAAAATGTTGTGTATCAGGAGAAGTCAACAACGTCACGAGATATGAAAGAAAGAATCATTGCAGGATGTTATACAATCAATCCGGAAATGATGAGGAATATATGGGCTTTCGCAATCTGACTATTTCAATGTTGCATCGATACAAACGGGCACCACTTTCAACGTCTATTACAACGTCTGATTTGTTACTTACGTTTTTATTTATTGTCAAATGACCTTGCATTAGGGGTCGTTGAAATGGTCTGAAATTTTCTACTCTACCAGCAATACAAAAGTACGGCAAGCAATTTAAAAATTGGAGGTGACTTTAAGATTTCCGAAAACTCTTCACCAACAAAAAAATTATTACTTCCATATTATGACTCCCACTGTATTATAAGACTTTTGTTAACAAAGTTTCTCCACATAGAGATGTCAGTTATTTTTAGAGAAAAATAACGGAGATATTTCAGGTGATTAAAGTTATTACCGCACTCTCCATAATTAATATAACCTGGATCGGAAAGATTTTGATTTAATCACGATTTAAAAGTTAAGAAACACTTTCTTTTTTTGGACGTATATGACCACTGATCCATCAGACTCTGAGATTTTAAACGCGAACATTCTCAAGACTTTTGCCAAACATGAATGAAACATTCTTTTTTGCAAACATAAATATTCATAATAAAAAATGAATTTCTATTTTTAGTTTAATGGAGTATGATGGTTGCGCACATGTAATGTTCGTCCTTGAACAAGTTACTCGTGGCATATTTCAAAATGAATTTCATTTTATCGTTTAATCTTTGTTTTACACAATAACAATGAAGAACTTGTTTCGTTTATCAAAAGCCAACTATCATAATTACATTATCGACGTAAAAACCTTATTTTTTGTGCATTCAGCTTTAGTTACGTTCAGATAAAATTCACAGTTTCAGTCATCACTGATTGAAAAAACAGAACTATTTCGACTTTCCATTCCCTGAACTCAAAAAATTTGGACGTTCAATAAGTAATTTGACTACACAAAGTGCAGACTTAGGATACTATAATAATTTCAATTGAAATTCAGCAGAAATATTCTTCCCAAATACGCCCTTTAAGTTACGATTAGTTAAAAAAGAGGGATGTATCTCGACATTCCATCCCGTGACCTCACAAAACTAGGACGTTTATTAAATAATTTAACTACACAAAGTACAGACTTTAAATAGTCCAATAATTTTAATTCAAATTGGCCTAAAAAATCTCCCGAAATTCGCTTTTTAAGAGAATTTACAATTAATTAAGAAAAAGATATTTCGACTTTCCATCCCCTGACCTCAGACAATTAGGACGTTTATTCGGTAATTTAACAGCACAAAGTATCGCCTGTCATTATTACACTAATGTTAATTCGAACTCGGCATAAAAAATGCATCCTAAATTCGTTCTAAACCTCGTTACGTCGCATGGACGATTCTTACGTGACGGATCTCAGAGCGCCATAGCAGAGTTTCCTCCGCCAGCATCCCCCAGGTTACCCGAAGCGCTCTTTTCCATCGACGCGAGCGCGCCGGGCGAGCCCTTGAATCGCATCTTCGCGTCGTCCCCGACCACCACGGTCTTTTGACAAAAGATCAACGTCACACAGCTAACCACGAACAGAATGCTGGGCACCAATAACGCGATCAGGAACTGATAATAGGTGTTCTCCAGATTGAACCGGGATACCACCACCCCGGTGTTACCCTCCGCGAAGTAACACGGAAATCTGGCTCTAGCGTTGTGATCGGAACCGTCCTTCCCGTACTCGTGAAGGAAGTCCCTGCACTCGTCACGAAGGGTATTGACGCAACCCTCGAGATTGATCAGCAAACGGCTCTCATTCGCGATGATCAGATCCTGTTCCGGTGGCGCGACCATTCTGGACTCATCCAGGGGTTTGGTAGCATATAGATTAAGATAGGATAGATAGGTGAAGTTGGTCAGATCTGTGAGAAGGTCCTTCTCCAGGACGGAACCGTTGATACAATCCACAGCCTCGACACCCAGAGTCGAATTGAATATCCCATAACAGGACGCCATCATGACGTCGCCACGATCCTCGTGCCAGATCTCACGATTACTCAGCACGTCTATAGCCCTTTCGCATTGGCTGAGATATACCTTGTCTCCGCTGAGCAGTATCATATTCTTGTTTCTCGTTGGGATATCGACGCATCTACGGTCGCAATTGTACGGGGTCCGTATACGCTCGCAGGTCCCACGGTTGCAATTGAACAGACCGTCTATATCTATGCAAGTGATCTTGCCGCGTCTACCGGAACACTTCATCGGTGGATCGGTGTCGTGGAATATACACTCGAACGCGTCGGTAATATTTATGCACACCCCGGACGAACAGTTGAACGTGCCGGTTAGGTTACGGCACTCGTCCGCGATGCATTTCGATTTCTTCGCGTTCTCCTGATCGATACCGTAACAAGTCTTGTTTGTGGTGTTCGTACAGTTCGCGAGGAGGATCGTGGACCCGTTTCTGCGGAGGTTCACGTGGATCTGAACACATGGACCGGAAGTTTTCGAAAGGCACCACTCTCCGCAGCTGCCCCAGTCGCAGTTGTCCGCGTTCACTGCGCGGATCGTTGTGCACATCATCGGCACCTCACTGATGCCAGATTGATAGGCTCTTGTGAACGGCATGTAGATCGCGACCGTTAGGTATACCAGAGCCACGGATGACAGAACCGCCGTCATCTGACAGATACATATAGTCCCGCAGATCTTGGCGTCCTGAGGCGGGATCACCAGATCCTCTACTGGCACTGGCTTCGGCATACTGCCGACGAGAATTCCCGTTCAATCACCAATAGGAGATCCCGCGGTCCAGGATCAAGCGTCTAATTCCAAATGGGGTTACATCTTACATATCCGATTGCCCATCTCGGTCGCCCCCGACACTGTCTATACCATCGGCGTGGCGAGTACGACAATGCTGCGTGCTCTCGATTCCGTGTTAACAGGGTCTCGAGTGTATAGTCAAGCTGTAACTATAGACCTCGGGGATCGAGGGCATCGACGCTTTATCAATAACGCCGCGCTACAGATTTCGCAGGATGTACGTACCGCCAACAATATGTTCCATGGAAACGGGCAACATGGGACCGTGTTTTCTCAATCGTTTACCCTCATGGATCCATGGGTTTACGGTGTACTTCTGGTGTCGATAGGTCGACCTATCCACCGCCCAGATGGCTATACCAGCCTTTTTTGCATCCCGCTTGGTATCTTCGATGGAGACGTTAGGGCAGGTCGGCCGAGTGGATCATCCGCGATGATATGTGTCCCTGATTATCCTTGACGCACAGTTTGAAGCTACTCAAGGATACGCATCGCGAACTTAAAATGTAATTCACGTTCAGTGTTTCACGCGAGTTTCGTGTCACCGCGTTCCGTTTCGACGGCAGGACGAGGCTGGCCGCGCGCGTGTTCTGCTTTCGGTCGCTTTGCGCCTCGTGTGAGGTGCGCGGGGCGGAACGCTCGAGCGGCGCCGCGCATCGATCGATTGTTCGCGCTTGCGCTGCTCCGAACTGCAACGACGCCGTGCACTGCCGCATTTGACGTCATCGATGTACCGTCCTGCCATCCCGGAGGATGATGCTCTGTTGCAGGACGATCGTCCAGAGATGGCGGGATCCGACGGATCCGGCGGCGGAAAATTGAATCTTTTTGGACGGTACGTGTCGATACTGTGACTGTTGTACTTACTCCTGTACCGTTTACCGTATCAGATTCTTGGGGGAAGTGGTTCAACCAAAAATATTCTTTTAGGAATTTTTTCCTCGTAAATGATGAAACTGTCTAGATGAAACGTATCGATACTTGATTGTTGTACTCCTGTCCCTGTTGCAGTTTTAGAGTAGTAGATTCTTGGGAGAAGATGTTCCACCAAAAATAATCTTTTAGGAATTTGTTGTTCAGATTAAATGAAATGTATCGACGCTTGACTGTTGTACTCCTGTCCTGTTGTAGTTTTATCATAGTAGATGCTTCGGGGTGGGAGAGGGTTTAAGTATAAAATATTCATTTCGGAATTTTTTCCTTGTAACAGCTATAGTGTCTCAGCACCAAGATTCTTTTTTAATTTTTTATTCGAAGCACAGGCTTCTAGTGAGCATTTGAAATAGTTGAGGATGTAGTGTTAAATATTGTTACGGTGGTGGTTCGAATACAAATAAAAATTTTTCTACAAATTTCTGGAAATTTGATACCAACCTAATGGAAGATTATTTTTACACATTTTTCCATTAACATAAACGTATCTTGATTAACGAAATGAAAATTCTTTTGATTTTCGTTTTGTAAGGTCTTATGATGAATGTTATACAAAAGCAATATTCTTTTCTTCTTATATCGCTGGTTTAGAAACCAATGCTCCATGTTGGTTCTCTGTCAACTCTTTGCCACAAATCTGTAAATGTTAATAATCAATAAAATAAAATATTCTGTTACAGAAAATTTCAGCATGGTAGTATTATTTGTTTCTGTTATATGAAATTACTATTTCATTATTAGACTGCTGATTTTATACATTTATTGTATAGGTGACCGTTTAAACCTCGGTACAGTTCAAATTTTAATAATGTTTACAGGGGATATTATTTAGTGTCGAACCTCAAGAAACCTTCAAAAAACAAATTTATAGTTGAGCCCAATCTTCATAAGTTAGTCAAGAAATCGATATTTGCATGAACATCCGCAGTCTATTCACAATTTATGACATTAATTGAGGCAGAAGTATTCAGTACAAAGAATTCGCACTTTCCTTTCAATCTTGTCTGTTAGATGTGAATTTCGTAGTGCAATCAATTTAATTTATAAACAGAATTTCTGTATATTCTTCTTGAATACCAATGCTGTAACCATACAAGTTTCATACAGCTTGAAATAAACATTACTCGATTGCACGTTGGGTGAAAGTGGGTCGAAGATCAACCCTGGTGAACTTTCTTTAATCGTGTCAGACGATGCTTCGCCATTTAATAAGAGTGGATCGCGTTTAACTTTGTATGTCGTCGTTATGACTACGAAACTCCGATAATTCTGTGGTTCGAATATACATCGAGTATTATAAAGTAGTAGAAAAAAAAGTAACCTAGAATATTCCGTTCTTACCAACAATGAGCTAAAATTATAATTACTATTTCGAAGTATACAAGGAGAAAATAATCGTTTTAAACTTATGGTATATAGGCACAATAACTTCCAGTTACAAAATATGATAGTTTTAAAGTTAAATTCAACTAAAGAATCATCTCATCATTTTCTTCTGACAGGGAAAATTGTGATTTTAGTAAATTTCCATCGTTCTCGATGGTTCAGGAAAAAAAACTGGTAAGAAAATTTAACAATTCGACCAGAAAAAGTGAAACGATAAAATGTTTCAAAGCGCGCGTTAAAGCAATGCACTGTTTTTTGTCGCGATATTCGGAAGGATCGCGTTAATTTCTTTTTTTTCTGCGAGACCATCAGCGACCCGACACGAAACCGTGCTGGTGTAACTGTGACACAGTTTTCCCCGCCATACGGCTTTCAGAACGGGTGGCACAGTTTGAAGAGCAAGCGACAGAAACTGCATGACAAAAAGTGCGGTGGTAGCTTTAAAGCACTAACGCGTAATTAATTGCGTCGGCATAGAAAGCATCCTCTCCTCGCTTCCTTCAATCCTTCAAACGCTTTGCAACAGATCTCGAAAGTGCTACGGCACTCGATCTCGTGACGCTGCGAACGCTTGCCGCGAAGTGTGTGATGTCAACGACATACAAGCGTACAAATTATTAGACTAGAAGCAATCCTTTCATGCTACTGCTAATTCTCTGCTGCGATATCGGGTAATACGGAATAAATTTATTATACCCCATTTGGTAATTTGTATACAACAATCACATATAGATGTCAACGACAATTATATAATCGATTGACATTTTCCCCTAAAAGGATCAAAATGTATACCATCTTGTAAAATTTATTCCCTGCCGTTCATATCTATTTTATATAAAATTATAACCCACCCTAAAAGTTTCAATTCATATGTATCCTGATTAAAATAAAAACAAACCAAGTATGCCATGTTTGAAATCGAATATGCATAGTCTGAAGATTATATTCCCTAGAAAACAAAGTGGTTCGTTTTTATTTTATCCACAATACAGAAAGATTGCAAGTTTCAGTGTGGTTTCACAGTTATCTCACGAAGTGTACCTATTATCAGACAACAACATCAAACAAGAACGTTATCAAACATGTGAATCAACGTTCCCAGTCATTAATGCTCGATAAACTAGAAACGTCATTTCACATCTCCAACGTGTAACATGCCCGAACACTATCTTCCCTTGCCCAAATATAATTCCTCACAAGGTAGAAAAATGAAGAAAATTCGCCACCATTCCGTCATAATTTCCATAATATTTTTCACCGTTCCCAACGACACGAAAATTTATAAATTGCCGCAATTACCGTGGGTCGTAGTCTTTCTCGCGAGGTCGCAGCACTTTCTCCCATAAAAAGGGAAGGGAACAAGTCTGAAGAAAAAAAAAAGGTTTCCAGAGACTGCCGCAGCTAGTGCTGTACAATGCTAATCACGCTCATGCGGTTCGTGGCACGCTAGTCAGCCAGGGAACGTCGAAAACCGCCAGGGGTTGTATTTTTCTTTTTCTTTTTAATCGCGATAACGCTCGTTCCCCAGAACCACTTAATTATCAGCGAGAATTTTCCATAACATGTACGCTCCAGTTTTTCGCTTCCCGCGAAATTGAAGCCGCCATGAGGTTGCGACACAGTTTCCGGTCGCCGGTAGGACCTTCGGCACGGTTGACACAGTTAGCGACCTGAAGACGGCGGGGAGGAAGGGGTCAGTCGAGCGAGGGGGAGGAAGAGGGAAAAAAAACAGAAAAGGAAGAAGGAACGGGAAGGCTCGACGCGTTAGCACACGTAACGTAGTTTATCGAGCGTCGGCCGCAGACGGTGTGGCGCCCGGTTGCTTTGCGCCGCGCGCGCGTTCCTCGCGATCTCCTAAGCTATGCGTGTCTCGACTGCCACTTGTAATTCCAGCGAGTGAGTATGAACACAATGCGGACATTTTTTGGGAAATTCTTCCGTGGGGATTTTTGTTGCTGCGAGCTTGACTCAGATTGCTGACAAGAGAGCTTTGTTTAACCGAAAATTCCGATTTTTTGGGAAACTTCGCGTGTCTCGAGGGCCATTTGTAATTCCAGCGAGTGAGCATGAACACAATGCGGACATTTTTTGGGAAATTCTTCTGTGGGGATTTTTGTTGCTACGAACTTGACTTAGATTTCTGACAAGAGAGCTTTGGCAACCCAAAAATTTATATTTTTTTTCAACCTTGCAGGTGTGTAGGCAGACTTTAATCGGAATATCAGATTTTTTATTTTTACTACTTTTGGGTACTTTAGGGTGAAAACTCTCCTTAATTTTAATAAGTGTTTTTCTATTTTGCTGTATGTCGTGAAACCTGTGGCAGATATAAAGAAATGGTTGCAATGAGAATTGAATGGCTGATTATGCTCTACAAAATTAGGCAATGAAATTGATAAAAAATTTATGATATATGTATTTAAAATTGTTAAACGAAATTGTTAGAAATTATAAGAATTATTTATTTAAAATTGGTAAATGGCTTTTTTATTTATTTATAAGGGGTACGGTCGAATGGACGATACATACGGGTAGGAGGTTATTCCTTATGCAAAAATAAATCAAAACTGTACAGTAAAATTTTTCCATCGTAGGCGTTGTTTTCGAGAAAATCGATC